AAAAGAACCCTCCTCTTCTTGCGCATCTTCTTTGTACTTTTTAAGTTCCATTTTCAATTCATCCCAAAGTAATGCCATTGTAGAAATTTTTAAACAACCGATTGACTTTAGTCCTCCACAACCTCTGGAGCCACACCTCCATTCAGCTATTCCTCCTCTCCCTCAGAATCAGCCTCCCCCAGGGCCATGACACAATGTCCAACTGTCTACTTGGCAAAAAACATCCAATTCCACTTTGGGACGATGTTTTCTGGTTTAGGAAACTCCCATGGAAGCCTCTTTTGAGGCCTACATGGGGAACTTCCTACAAGTAATACACACTGGATGTGAAACTTCAAGGATAACAGTACATACATAAAGCTCTCAGAAGAAGCAGGCATGGAGTCAGGTGATTCTGAATCTCCACACAAAATACAACCCACTGTTATTTTTGAAAGTTAATTGCTTGAGGCTGTACAGAGAGGAGAAAAGGCTGCTTTCTGTATGATTCTCCACCTCTCAAATCATCGTAAGCGACTCTTCCTGTAGGTGCCAATAGTTTATCATACTTGGGGGTTTTTTTGTCTTAAAAGAGACCTTGATTGTTGATGCTATATATTATATTCAATAAGTGGTCTTTAACAATGTTCTTTCTGCAATCATAGTAGAGTTTAATTCCACATTTGCTCTCACTTTCAGGAAATACGAGAATCAAAGACTTGAGATTTAAAAACCAGACCTTTAACAAATAGTAAGCAACCCTAAACAAAACTTTTCTTTTCTTTTGAAATGATGGAAAGGGTTCACATTGAACATTGAACTCTGCTTTTAAATTCTTCATCCCCTCTTCTAGAAAATAAAACCTGCCACAGTGAACTCTTATTTAACACCAGGATTATTTTATAAATAGCTTTGCTCAGATTTGGAGAGCTTTTCTTTTTCTGGTACGTAATTTGTTAGTTACAAGTTCATATTTTTACAAAACCCTTCAGTGGCCCAGCTTTCATTCCTCCTTTAATGCTTTACTCTTCAACTGCTACCATGTCACACTACAGGCAGCCCTCAACTTACAACTATTCATTTAGAAACCATTCAAAATGACGACAGCACTGAAAAAAGTAACTTATGATCATTTTTCACACTTACAAAGCAGCGTTGAGATTCAATTTTTTTTACTACCGGTTCTGTGGGTATGACTTGGTGGGCATGGCTTGGTTGGCATGGCAGGGGAAGGATACTACAAAATCCCATTCCCTCCCCACCCCACTAACCCGCTTTCCAGCTCCGTTCTCCTGTGCAGGGCAACCAAAGGAGACCCAGCCAATCCGCTGGGACACGGGAGGCGGAGAAGAGATGGGGGCGGGGACAGTCAGAGGTGGTATTTCCGGTTCTCCAAAGTACTCAAAATTTCGGCTATTGGTTCTCCAGAACTGGTCAGAACCTGCTGAATACCCACCTCTGCAATGGATGCTCCAAAAAGTACGTATGAGCTTCTGATAGTGGTAGCTTAGTAACTGGCCTGCATTTATGGCTATTTGCAACATCCCACGGGCACACATTTACAACATTTTAACCCAAAACTGGCATTAGTTTTGGTTTTCAGCAAAACCACCCTATCATGAACAATGGTTCTCTTAATAATCATGGCATTCGCATAATGACTGTGGAATTGGCTTTACAACCACAGTGTTCATTTAACACTTACAAGAACACACACACACACACACCAAAAATGTCAACTTGCTTTACATCCATCCCAATTTATCACTGTAATTGGCAGGTTCCATTACAGTCGTAAGTCAAGAATTACCTGTTACGGTTTATAGCAGTTTATAATTTAATTATAACCTAAATTATTTTAACAAGTGTGCATTTATATCCCATTTCCTGCCCTCCCCCGATTCCCGCTATTAAACACCACGGTTTCCACCGTCAAAATGCTTCCCCTAAAACTCTTATGGAGCTTTCGCTCTGTATGCATAATATTCTGAGTCAGAGAAAGCCTTCATTGTGAAATCTTAAAAGAGTTTCTGGCTATTGATCCTAAAAATATTGAATTACAGCATCGACCCTATTACCCGTTTTCTTCTAGGGTACTTTTTTTTCCCCTGAAATATCACGCAGTTAAGTTTGGGGGGGAGGGGAAATGTGTTCCCGCGAAATATCCAAAACATTCTTACAGTTCTAAGCAACCAAGTATGGATAAAGAGAAATGAATTAGCACTGCTGCAGTATGTACAAAGCATGCTAGCGAGGATCACATCCTGTATCGGAGCTGTGCGTAACCCACTAAACACCTTGAGCAGAAAAGGAGAACTTCTAGTAGTTCAGCTGAAGCCAGGGGTGATATTCTACCCGTTTGGCCTGGTTCACACGAACCGGTAGCTCCAAAATTCATCTGGGAGAGAACCGGTTTGCTCTGACGATCCGTTCCATGCTGACCTTTATTTCCTACTTTTGACGCACAGCTGCATCGCGCAGCATAGCGGATTGCCGTGAATGCAGGAGTGTAGGTCAGTAGGAAGGCCTCTGCGCGCATGCAAAGTGTTTGCCCCGCCTGCGCGCAAAGCACGCCCACCAACCCATGCCCACCGAACCTGTGGTAAACCAATTTGAATCCCACCCCTGCCTGAAGCTCATTGCAAAGACTGTCTCCTGCAGGCGCAAATCTATTTGGGTCACCTGGCCCCTTTAAAGAACAGCCCAAACTAGGATATGCTTAAGGCAGCCAGTGTGCGGTTGGGAAATGGGGAAGAGAGGCTTGCTAGTTTCAGGTGTTTTTTTTTTTTGTTGTTTGGCAATTGGGAGAGTATCACCGTCTCTGAGCTTCAGCACCACATGTGATGATGTCCCTCATCTAAGTGAAAAACAGCCTTGGGTCATGGGATTCTGTTACTCTCGTCAGACATGTCAAACAAGCAGCCCGTAAGCCAAATCCAGCCCATGATAGGCCCAGGGTTTTCCCACGGGCCCACCCACCGTTGGCCATGATGACCAGGCCACACCCAGCCCGGCCCCCCAAGGGGCAAACAAAATCCTGATACGGCCCGCAATGGGACAGAGTTTGACACCCCTACTCTACATGGTCTCTTATGGTTACTTGGTTTTTTAAACACTATCATTATGTACAGGGGTGGGATTCTACCAATTCGCACCTATTTGCTAGAACCGGTTGTTAACATTGTAAGCAGTTCGGAGAACCGGTTGTTAGAAGAAATTATTGGCCTAATCCTGTAAGGAAGGCAGGAAGGAAACATTCTGGTGTTGCTTACAGAAACTGCCTCTCCGTTAACCCTTATTACATTCTTGGCAGGGCTAGACTTCCTGTCTCAGGAACTTCTCTGGAGTTTTTTTCCTCTCCTTTGCTGGTACTTTGCTTGTGTGGAGGGACCATTCAAAGTTACAGTCGCACTGAAAAAAGTGACTTATGACTGTTTTTCACACTTACGACTGTTGCAGCATCCCCAGTCATGAGAAGCCAGGCAAGGAGATGCATGCCTTGATGTGAGTGATATTGAGTTGGCCACACCCAGCCAATAAATGACCACCAAGCCACGTCCACTCAGTCACATGACCACCAAGCCACGCCCACCAACTAAGCCATGCCCACAGAACCAGTTGCTAAAAAAATGGAATCCCACCCCTGGTTATGTATGTATGTATGTATTCACTTATTCACTCATTCACTATTTATTTAGAACTATTCTTGGCCCTAGTTTGCCTGTAAAGGGAAACTATTGGCTTTTATGAGTTTCCAGAGTTCCAGAAAGTCACATATGCTATCAGGTCTTCCATGTTCTAGAAACACATTCTATTAGCAAAAGAGTTAATCCACTAATAGGAAAACAGCCCTCCACGTGTATAGAAACTATTAAATGTTTATCGTTGCATATCTTTATTTTCAAACTGATAGAAAGCCTGCTTGATTTAAATGCCTATCAAAAGTAATGCTACATTAAACTCTAATGGGTGAAAGTCATTGTGATACATTAGAGGAGGCTCGGAGTTCGGCAAATCCCACCTCTGACTGGTCCCGCCCCCATCTATTCTCCGCCTCACGAGTCCCATCTGATTGGTTGGGTCTTCTTTTGTTGCCCTGCACAGGAGAACAGAGCTGGAAAGCAGGTTAGTGTGGTGGGGTGGGAAAGGAGATTTTGCAGTATCCTTCCCCTTCCCCTGCCATACCCACCAAGCCACGGTCACCAAGCCATGCCACACCCACCAAGCCACGCCCATAGAACCGGTAGTAAAAAAATTTGAATCCCACCACTGTGATACATAGGATAAACACATTCCATTATGGCCAAAAATGCAAACATCTTTTTTTTCCCCCGGAATAAAATATTGCAAGCCCAGTGTCTAAAAAGATGGAAATATATATGAAAACAGTAAGTCTTCTGGGTTTTGTACCATAAATTTTGTTTTCGTGTAACTATGTCTTCACTTCCTCAAATAAATTGCAGTATTTGCAAACAATGTTTCTAATATATAATGTGAAAGTTATATGCATTACACATACCTATTATCTACTTTCTGGGCCTAGATACTTTTATAATGTGTAATACATTTATAATGGTGATCTCATCTAACCCATTTCATTAATATTTGAAAATATCAGGTGAAATGAGTAGCACAGAAGTCTAATATATAATAATAATGAAAAGGGATATTGGAAGCTTCTTTCTATTTCTTTTATATATTTTTATGCATTTTTTCTTCTTTAATTCTTCTGCTTTTTATTATATTGTGTAGTTTTAATGTTCTTTGCAAAATGTTTAATAGAATTTTGATGAGCAACCAAATAACTGAAAGGTTTGAAGGAGGGCTATTAATATGTTAATATATTGTAAATATGTATCAGGTTGGTTGACCATTTAAACAACTTTTTAATCATTCCCTTAGAAGGCACAATTTTAAAATATATTAAATCTTTTTAACATATTAACACATCTGAATCAGATTTTTTTCTAAGTGTGAGCATGTATATATTGATAAAACGAGTGCCACTATACACAAAACTGACAGAGATAATAATTTATTTAAAGTACATTTTCATTATGAAAACAGTTTTTCAGAGGGGCAGAGATATTAGTTTTATATACTATGGTTTGGAAGCCTTTCAGCTTTCTTCAGCAGAAGAAATCTAAAGAAGAAGCCATTTATACAGACTATTGTGGCAATCACAGTAGAAATTGCCTAATACAGAAAGAGCTGCTATTTGATTATATAATTAGCAAAAATGGATCAGAGCACAGAATGCTTAAAGTAAAATTCTGAAATTTCATTTAGCTAGCTGCTAAACTATACACCTGCAAGGACTGTGCAAGTGTACTAAACCGACTTTAAGCTATGTTTAAATCACCAAGCGATCATGCTTATGAACATTCTTCAAAACAACTAAGCACTGGCAACCCTCACAGTTAACCTGAAACAAAATAATGTCAGAGAAGCAATACATGATTAATCTTATTCAAACGTTCTAAAGAACTTGGCATATTTGCCTAGGACTAAGTATAGTATGATCACCACAAAATATTTTGAAGTGATTCTGAGGTAAAAACTGAAATAGGTTTTGTTCTATTAAGTGAAATTATTGAAAAACACCAAAGACCATTAATTCTCAATGTAGAACACAGAACATTTTACCAATTCTTTACACAGAAGCATGCAGAAGTAATGAAGTCTTCAATTATTGTATGCTAGGAACCAGGCCATCATTAAAACAATAATTCCACAGACTGGCAGCAAAATCATATTCTTATACTTTTGCCATAAAGGTTGTTCAATTTCAACCTCATCCTTTTTCCTCTTATTCTTCCGACGTCCTTTCAACCTATTTTCAAAAGCCTCCAGTTCTGCCTGCAGAAGAGAAAAAAAATGAAATGATAAAAAAATTTTAACAATAAAATGTACCAATTTTTTCCACTTATTTCTCAAGATAATATGCTGTATGATACAATGGTTCTGTGTAAATGGAATAATGCCAAGGTTTGACTTGCTGAAGCTCATTAAGGAAAAAAATGGGACTAGAGAACATCAGACAGGGAAAAGGTTCTTCTACTACAAGCATATGGTAATACATGCACACTTTGACCCTACTCATACACTACAATTGGAAGTTCACTTGGAGTGAAACAAAAAGTCTAGGGTATTTATGTTCTTCAAGGTCTTGGAATAAGCAACAGATTTCTGAAACATCCAGTGATTACAGTCTTCATTTTCTAAAAAAAAAAAGCGTTTGGTGTAACCAGAACAATCTGGAACTGAACACACTCAAATCTGTAGAAATGGTGGTAGACTTTAGAAGAAACCCTCCCATACTACTACCTCTTACAATACTAGACAACACAGTATCAATAGTAGAGACCATCAAATTTCTAGGTTATATTATATCACATGATCTAAAATGGACACCTAACATCAAAAATGTCATCAAAAAAGCACAACAAAGAATGTTTTTCCTGCGCCAACTCAGAAAGCTCAAACTGCCCAAGGAGCTGCTGATTCAGTTCTACAGAGGAATTATTCAGTCTGTCATCTGTACCTCTATAACTGTCTGGTTTGGTTCTGCAACCCAACAGGACAGACACAGACTTCAGAGGATAATTAGGACTGCAGAAAAAAACAATTACTACCCACCTGCCTTCCATCCATTGATGACCTGTATATTGCATGAGTCAAAAAGAGGGCTGTGAAAATATTTACAGACCCTTCATATCCTGGACATAAACTGTTTCAACTCCTTCCCTCAAAACGACGCTATAGAGCACTGCACAACAGAACAACTAGACACAAGGACAGTTTTTCCCTGAAAGCCATCACTCTGCTAAATAAATAATTCCCTCAACACTGTTCAACTATTACAAAGTCTACACTACTATTACTGTTAATCTCATCACTCCTTATTGCCCATCCCCTCCCACTTGTGACTGTATGACTATAACTTTATCGCTTGTATCCTTACAATTTATACGGACTGTTTCCTAGTATAATTTGATTGTACCCTATAACTATCATTAAGTGTTGTACCTGATGATTCTTGACGAATGTATCTTTTCTTTTTATGTATACTGAGAGCATTTGCACCAAGACAAATTCCTTGTGTGTCCAATCACACTTGGCTAATAAAGAATTCTATCTATATCTATCTTCTATCCATTTGTGTGCTCATGGACATTAATGTGAGAAGATACATGCAACAAACTCATTCAATGTTTCTTCAGGGAAAAGCTTCAACTCTAAATGACAATAGCACTTGGACTTATATTCTGCATTTTGCCCCCAACAATCTGGTTCCTCATTTTACCGACCTCGGAAGGAGGGAAGACTGAATCAATCTTTAGCCCGTAAGAACTGAACTGCGAGCAATTGGCAGAATTAGCCTGCAATACTGCATTCTAACCACTGCGCCGCCACCACCGTCGTTAAGCTCCGTATTAAGAAGGACATTATGACTTTAGCACTAGCCCATACAAAGTATATCTGTATATAAAGTATATGGTATATTTGTATGAGGTGTACATAGAATGTTTAATATTGCTGCAATGAGCAACTTGCAAGGGAAGGAAAAAAGAGAAACTATGAATTTACTGTATATCAAAGTGTTATGGTTGATACTGATTGCATTAAATAAATTCCTTCATAAGGAAAAAGAATTTCTGCTAATTGTATTATCAGAGCTTGTTCATGAAGATTTTAATCAGCGAAGAATGAAGAGGTTAGAGGAAAGGATATTACTTGATGAAGCAGACACTACAGTTTTCAAAATTTCATTATGGAATTATATTTAGCCAACCCCAACACATGGGTATTGCTCTTTTTCCATGATCACGTATCCAATACAAGTAGCATTTGACACAATTATAAATAACACTCTTACAAAAAAGAAGGAATGTTTAGAAAAATGAAAACTGACAAAAGTAACCACATTTGTTATGTGGGAGCTTTGAGAGGTGATTTTCAGACCATATTTGAACACATTGGTCAGATTGCCCACATAAGCCAACCTTTTTCCAAATTACAGCTTATCATGATTGTGCAGCGGGCATTTATTTAAATAATAGGCAATCATTCCATTTGCCTCTCCCTGCCAGTAAGAACAGCTAAGTAAATTAGGGGGCCTGATGTGTGCTTTGTTTAGCCTTATCTCTCAGCGCGATCCCTTCTGACAAGGTTGCCTCTGACCCTTGGCGTCAGAGTCTATGTTATCAGAAGGGCAACAAAATAGAGATCCCAAAAAGTAGAGGAACTACCGGTAATTCATAACATGGAACAATTTAGATCAGTGGTTGTGAGAAAATGTTGGTGGTCCACAGAGAAATGTCCCCCCAAAACACCTCCCAAAGAAATTAATCCAGGCTATGCGGGAACACAAGGCTGCACCGCCCACATGGCCCACGGGAACACAAGGCTGCGCTGCCTACATGGTCCAGCCACCCACTGGTCCCCATCCTTCGGCCGAGCGCAAAACTTACCTTGAGTAGAGCCACGTAAGCTGGAACTGGAAGGTAAGACCAACGGCAGGGGAGGGAAATCCACCCTGGGGTGGCTTGCTGACATTGGTGGGAAAGTTGGCCCCATATTCCAGAGCTGCAGGAGTCATAGGACTGACCCTTCGGTCATCCCGGAGCAGCTGCTCCTCCACCCAGGTGCACCAGCCTGCCATGGACTGAAGGAGCTGCTCCGGGATATCCAAAAGGCCAGTCCTGTAACTACTGCAGCTCTGGAATATGGGACTGACTTTCCCACCACCCTCAGCAAGCTACCGTCAGTCAAAATTCATATTAGTGGTCCGCAGGATTTAAAATTATGAGTTTGGTGGTCCCTGAGGTCCAAAAGGTTGGCGATCCCTGATTTAGATTGATGTAAGCAGCTAAGCAGGATCAACTGAGTAAGGGTTGCTCAAGCACAATAAATCTGCTGAATGAAGTTGGCTTGTTTAGAATTTCACAAGTTTACTTTAATCTGAAACGTCTAGTTCAAGGCGAGAACGTATTAAAAGTTTATCCTATGAGATGGAAATAAGAGTTGGGGTGCGTACCTGCTGTCTTCGTTTTTCCTCTTCGATGGCCGCTCTAGCCTCGGCTTCCTTAATCTGTGTGAATAAAATATGAAAATTACTTAGTTGCTTTTTTTGTGAAAATAGTTCCAAATAGATTATCTAACTACAACATACTTTCATAACATACAACATACTTTCATAAATTCCTTCATAAGGAAAAAGAATTTCTGCTAATTGTATTATCATGACATTAGAAAATGGAAAGATTTTCAGCAGCTTTCTAAACTTGTTTAAAAAAGTTTTGCTTCTCATCCAAGAAGCTTCTTTCATTTTAACTGACTAGTAGTATCATGCCCTTGTTAGAGTCAGACTCTGAGGGAGAGGAGGAACAGCCGACAGGGAGTGGAGGTGTGGCTCTGGAGGTTGTGGAGGAAACTGAGGAAGGGCAGAGGCCGGCTGGGCAGTCAGAGAGGACCCAGGTCCATCCCTTCTTCATCCTAGGACAGGCAGGGAAGAATGGAGAAGGAAACAACTTGGCTTACGAGAGAGGAAGCGGCCATGATCCTCCTCATTGGTTGCAGCTGGGGAGACTAGTAGAGAGATGGTTAAAACACAGCATTGCCAAAAGCAAAGCATGTTTTATTTGGGGCTGAAATTATCTTGGTTGGCATCCTTCCAACAGACTGTGCCTTGTTATTTCCTGGAAGTTGGTAATTACTTATCCTGGTCCGTTGTGGAAATTCCTTCATTGTAGTTCGTTTTAGTTTTTTATTTCACCTCTATCTGCTCATTAAGTATGGAATGTAGCTTTCTTTTGAAGACTATTTTTGAATAGGTTTTATCTCCAACTGAGAATTATTGAACAGTGGGGCCAAATTGGAGGCATTAAAGGACATTTATTTACGTTTTGGATTTTGTTACGTTTATGTTACACTCTGGGTCATCACAGGTAGGGAATGGTAGGATTTATATTCTTTGCAGTTGTCTGATGGTTAACTCTCTGAGAGTTGTTGAGACTACTGGTGGTGGGGCTTTGTCTGTATCCACAAAGTTACCTGAATCAGAATACAAACAGGTGTGGAACCATCATGGGACTGCATTGTAAACAGAAGTTAGGTGGTGTCGTATTCTTCCCGCTTTATTGAGGGGGAATGTTATTCAGTTTTAACATAGATGGTCCTCTTTCAAACCAATGGTCCTCTCTGTACAGAATCTGAACTTTACTGTCTTCAGAAGAGCGGCCCTTTTTTTTCAGACGCAGATGGACTGTTGAATCCTACCCCTGATGAGTTGTGTTCTCCTGTGTTGTGAGGTGGTTGTTTTGTTTCTCCAATGTACACGTCTGCACATGCCTTGCTACACTGCACTGCATATTGCTCTTATTTGTGTCTGGGTGTTTTGTCCTTGAGGTGGGTAAGCTTCTGTCTTAATGTATACCAGTGTTTAAAGTGTGCAGGTATGTTGTATGGATCAAAAACCCTCCTGAGCTTTTCAGATATTCCTGCAACGTATGGAATGACAACGCTGGTGTTTGTTGCGCTTCTCTTGTCTGTTACAAAAGAGCTCCTGATGGATCTCTTCGTGGATTTGATGAAGACCCAGTTAGAATAGCCACAAATTCCAAGGGCCTCTTTGATGCTTTCAAAAAAAAAAAAGCCCAACAACAACCAAGGATGCTGTCTTTTGGAAAAAGCACCTTTGGGACAACCATGGCCTGGATAATCGACAATAGATTTTTCAGCCTCACCCACATATATGAGGTGATCCCAAACTATCTGCGTCACCCCCTTCCCAATGTGAGCCTCGGAGCCCTAAAACCCTGAAGTCTGGCTCTTAGTCACAAAAACAACTTCAAAGTTCTGATTTTGTCGAAATGCCAATTTCACCAACATCTAAGATGTTGGTTCCTATGCTTCCCTCAAACATAATTTCTATTGTGTGGAATATCCATTATAGATTTCAAACAAATTGCATGAGAGTGGAATGTACAAATAGACTGTGTGCATGCACACAGGTGGGGGGAAGAGGAGGAGGAAAAAGAGGAGGAGGAGGAGGAAGAGAAGGAGGAGGAGGAGGAAGAGGAGGAGGTCTCTTCCCTCAAGGCCAGAGGTTCCCAAACTTGGCAACTTTAAGACTTGTGGACTTCAACTCCCAGAATTCCCCAGCCAGCATAGCTAGAAGTCCACAAGTCTGCTCAAGGCAGTAAGGCTGATTGTCAGGAGCAGGTAGGATGCAAGAGATTAATTCACTGGTCTTTTCCTAAAATGAGTCAGTCAGGTTTATAAAGCAGCCAAATAGTTGACAAATCCTGTGTGCAACTGCTTGGGATGATGGACTAAGATTCCTGATGTGGACAAACAGCAGAACTAAGGATCTGCCCTCCAGATCACTCCACTGCTCTCAAATGCAGGGATCTGACCACAGGGGTGACAAGATTTGAGGGCAAATATATTTGTTTCTGTATCTAGGGCTCTCACTTGTTCTGTTCCCAGATTGGTTGTTTTACATCCTTTTTTTTTTGGCACAAGTTGCCACAATGCCATCTGTCATGCAACATGCCAGGGCTCTGAACTGGGAATGCAGCGTTGTGCCCTCATTGAATACATTAAAATCTGTTCCAAATTAGTCCGTTCGACTTTAGAAGGCAAGCTTTTTGTAACCCACAGCCTTTAAAAAAAAAAATTCCTTTGTTGGAATGCCATAATGCAAATGCTTTTTAGTTGCATTGGCAGTATAAATGTTAACTATTAAGAAAGCTATAACTTAGCTATAGTTCATCCAATTATTGATATGCTGCCCAGTAAAATTTCCAGAGAGCAAGCCCCAGAAACAGCGTAGTTACTATACAGAATTAACCCAGCCTTAAAACAGATATGTGTTATTTTTCAATCACTCAGAATGACGACCTTTACACATGGAGGCTTTATATTATTAATACCACTATTCTTGCACTAGATTTTTTTCAGCTTAACTTTAGTCCCCGTGAAAAATAGCTCAAATGGTTCAAAATGAAATGGTGCAGAGGCCTGATTCATTCTTGTCATATGTTGGCTGTTAAATGTAAAGGGTTTCTTTCATTTCTTTATTTGCCTCTTTTATTATTTTCTAAAGAACTCAAGGTGGTGAATGCACCTAATATTCCCTCCTCTTCCTATTCCCCCCCCCACAACAACAACCCTCAGAGGTAGGTTGAGATGACAGAGGGCGACTGGCCCAAAGTCACCCAGTCAGCTTTCATACCTAAGGTGGGACTAGAACTCACAGCTTCTAGCTGGATGCCTTAACCACTAGACCAAACTACTATTCTGTATCACCTTCTTATAGCTGAAATTCCATGCACAAAATGGATGGGGTACATACTCAATTGTCAAATTTATTTATTTAGTGTATGGCACATGCTAGCCAGGGATCACCGAGGCGGCTGGCTGCCTCTGTGAAAGGAATTTTTTCGGGCGGTGTTATCTTTACCCGTGGGATGCCTGAATGCCAGTAGGCAATCGGGGGAAGGCTCCTTTCTTGTCCGTCCCACGGTTTATTCGCTCACAGAAATTGAACCGCCGCACTGCCAACCTCAGCGGTACGCAGGCCCAGGGCTTTTACTACGTGAGCCACCGCGGTCACAGCCAAGCACACACATAAACTAACTGACAAGAGTTTGAAAGGACAAGAAATATACTCAGTAAATTATTACACATAACACATAATAGACAAGACAGTGCAGAATAGTAAGTCAGAGTGAACAGTGCATTTCCCTCTAAAGGAAAATGTACATCTATAAAAAGGCTCAAGAAACACCCCAATATAAATTATAAAAAAAAAAATAGAGGAATAAATAAGGATTAAAATTACTGCAACCTAAAATGTGTGCTGGCACACAGCATTAAAGAGCAAGACAATGGAACATGGGTTATGTTATATTATACCAAGGCAGACCACCCCCCTAGCATATTTTATCTAATTCTGCATTGTTCTCGGCTCAGCTTGGTTTCAGCCAAATTCAATCCCATTTGGGGACTTTCTGCTTTATTTGCACTTCATACAAACGAACTAAAATTAACATGCAATTGCTGTTTAATTGGCCTACCCAACAATCGTGGCAAGTAATCCTGCACACATTTTCTTTAACACAAAATAGCAACAATATTGCTGCGGCCTGCCAGCTGCCAGCGGAGCTCAGATGAGGAGGTTGGAGAAGAAGTGTCATGCCCCTGTTGGAGACTGACTCCGAGGGAGAGGAGGAACAGCTGACAGGGAGTAGAAGTGTGGCTCAGGAGGCTGGGGAAGGGCAGAGGCTGGCTGGGCTGTCAGAGGAAGATCCAGGCCCATCCCCTCTCCATCCTAGGGCACACGAGGAGAAGAGGATAAGGGAGAGACGTGAACGGTGTGGTCTATGGGGGAGGAAAGGGCCTTGATCCTCTTCATGGGCTGCAGCTGTGAAAACTGGTTAAAAGGACGGACATGCGTATGGGCCAGTGCTGGAAACAAAGCATGGAAATATCTCTAGTCTGTCGTTTCTCTCTGAGTTTGGTTTCCCAGTGTGCGTTCCGATATCTGTGGACGTCTTCAAGCCCTTATCTTGCTTGGTTCCCTTAATTGCTTGAGTGTGGTTTGTGTTGGTTTTACTCTCTATAATTTATAGGTATTTTTAGTTTAAATGGCATGTCCTCCTTTTCATAATTGCTTATAGGGGAGTTTCATAATTGCTTATAGGGGGTTTTTTTGTCTCCAGTCAAGGATATTTGAAGTTTTGAAGCAAAGTGAAGGAATAAAAGGGGCTTCACCTGTTTTTGTGACTGTGTTTATTTTGTATCCCACCCTGGGTTATCACAGGAACTTGGGCCAGTCGTGCGGTCTGGGGAAGGCTCTGATGGATGCTCTGTGTTGGAAACAGAGATAGAGCCAGGGCCGTCCAACATTTCCTAGCTGCCTCCGGAGTCGGAGATAAGTGGGGAAGAAGAACAGCTGGGGCCTGTTCCAGATGCACGTATGCGCAGAGCTGCCAGGAGAGGAGAACAACCGAGGGGCAGAAGCCGATTCAGGCACATGTGGACACTGAATGGCCCTCCCTAGCTGGGGAATAAATAGAAGCAAAAAGGGGAATGGTGGTTGCAGGAGACAATAGTTTGTATTTCTTTCAGAAGATTTACTTATCTTGGTTCGTGCCTCAGAGACTTCCTGCCAGGAATTAATTTACAGCTTTTGGACTGGAAGCTCTCGGCCTGGCAATTATCCAAGGACTGATAAGGTCAGTTCTTGCAATTAACCCTTGGAAGGATTATTGCCGGGATTTTTCTGTATGTGAATGCCATTAATTCACAGTAACTAAATAAAAAAGGGTTTTTCAGGACAAGGAGTCTGTTTCTTGGTTCTGCTAAGGCTGGGTCAGAACAAACATATTGTAACCTCAAAGGGCAAATTACCTCAGAAGCTTTCCGTTTCATTTCTTGGCATACCACATCACACTCCAAGTAACACTGACCTTCACGAACTTCACTGCACAGAAGTTCCTAGGAGAACAATTTGAATATATTTTTTTAAAAAAAACCTTACTTTCCCCCCCAAAAAATTCTGAATATATTATAACGATATTTATCACAAAGAATCTTCAAAACAAACTATCTTATTCTCCCAACGAACAAAAGTACACTTATTAACTATTTGGTTATATTTCATGTTTCTAGACTGCCCGGCTCCCTCAAAGAGGAGCTCTAAGTTGCTCCAAATTATTTGATTAAGATGGGCAGTCATACGGAAGGAAGGAAGGAAGGAAGGAAGGAAGGAAGGAAGGAAGGAAGGAAGGAAGGAAGGAAGGAAGGAAGGGAGGGAGGGAGAGATTCGATTGCACTCATCTGCTAGCTGGATGGACACCACAATTCCCCTTCTTTTTACATCCCATATCCTCCCAAAGTGGGGAGATTTGGGAAGGAAGAGAGGACAGAATAAAGTGTGCATTATGTTGTGCATGCATGATAAGGACTGACTGGGAGGGGCGGGGCGGGCGGAGAGGGGTGGGGCCAGCCAGGGGAACATTTTGCCGGTTCTCCGAACTGCGCAGAATCATAACAACTGGTTCTATAGAAGCGGTCCGAACCAGTAGAATCCCACCCCTGCATCCATCTCATATTATCTGGTTTTAATTTTATTTGTTGCTATTATCATGCATTTTATATTGTACTAATTGTATTGTTACATTGTTTACTACCTGGCAATAGTCTGGCAAATAGTCAGTATATATAATACGCCAAAAAAAGTCCACCATATAACATAATCCTACATTTTATTAAGAATTAAACGTCCTTTTTCATTCATGTCACTTAGTAATGCGTTAAATTAAGCGTCAGTGGCATTTAATTGGATTGTTTTAGACGGATATGCAACACACATTAAGAGCTTAAACAATTCCCCAACAATGAATTCCTAATTTACAGGATCCAATCTGGATTGGTCACTGGGACCAGAGGTTTTGTTTTCCTGGCTTTGGGACTCGTGCTGGAACCCACTTCCACGGAACTTCTCTCTAGCAGAGTGTGAATTGAATTAAATTCAGACTGAATTAAATTTCCTAATTTAATTCAATGTTCAAAGCATACACTTAATATTTCTGTTATGAATATTAATACAGGACACTGGTTTATGACATATGCCTCTGCTTGACTCTCAGAAGTGTGCTGCTGGCTAATTTTAGAATATCCTTAGTAGCTTTCAAGGAAGAAAAACATACAATCTTTAATGGGTAATTAGACAGATATTCAATTGATGCCTGTCATGAAATGGTAATTAACCTTCTGCCTTTCTTTCTCTGTTTGATTAGTGTGTCATCACCAATATAAAAAAATCACATCCAGCCGTATACAAGTGATTTAAGTGGAAAAATTACTCATACCTAAATTCAATTCCACATTAATTATGCGATATATATCCTAGGGCTTAAATAATTTCTATTGCCACTATTTCAGCTGCATCTACAATATTTTAATATTTAAGTCTTGTACAAAGCAGCCAAAAAAAATACAAAGAAGAGCTGAAAGGAAGAAGTTCGAAAAATTCTTTCTAATTAAGGATGATTTCAAGAATGAAAAAAAATGAAAAGCACATATAAGTTTAAAGAAAAACCCCCACACTAAAACCCATCTTGTAATTTGCATTTAAATGTGTATATATACTCAGAGTTGGGTGGCATCTAAATTTAATAAATTTGTTATTAAATTGCTAACTGTTAATTAATAATACTATTGTATTATTATTACAGCCCTAAAAATATAGTAATTTATACCATTTAATTTATACAATGTATATTTCTTTGCTATGCTTTTGCTTTTATTATCTCTAATAGAGCTTTATTATAAGTTAGAGTTAAATTTGACAAACAAAACTAAAAATACAATAAAATATTCATATTAATTATTATGATGCACTATTTTTTTTTAAAAAAATGGAAAAGCAGTTTACAAGTAGTGCTTGACTTTAAAAAGTTCATTTAGTGACGGTTTAAAGTTACGACTCTGGAAAAATTGACTTATGATCATTTTCTACACTGTAGCATCCCCGTGGTCACATGATCAAAATTCAGATGCTTGGCCACTGACTCATATTTATGATGGTTGCAGTGTTCTAGGGTCATGTGATAGTCCTTTTGCAACCTTCTGACAAGTAAAGGCAAGGGAGAAACCAATTTACTCAACAACCGTGTTACTAATTTAACAACTGCAGTGATTCGCTTAACAAACGTGACAGGAAAGGTCATATAAAATCGGGTACAGCTCACTTAACAACATAAATTTTGGGCTCAGTTCAGAGGTGGGTATTCAGCAGGTTCTGACCAGTTCTGGAGAACCGGTAGTAGTTCGGAGAACCGGCAAATCCCACCTCTGACTGGCCCCTCCCCCATCTATGCTCCGCCTCCCGAGTCCCAGCTGATTGGCTGGATCTTTTTTGGTTGCCCTGTATAGGAGAATGGAGCTGGAAAGCAGGTTAGTGGGATGGGGAAGGAATGGAGATTTTGCAGTATCCCTCCCCTGCCACGCCCACCAAGCCATGCCCACCAAGCCACACTACACCCACTAAGCCATGCCCACAGAACCGGTAGTAAAACATTTTCAATCCCACCACTGGCTCAGTTGTAGTCGTAAGTTGAGCACTACCTGTAGTAAATCATGAGCTGATTTCTCCTCGTGAAACAAGGCTTCCCTGTGCTTCCCTGTGTCAAAATTGCTCCAGAAAGTCCCTCAGTAGTAAATCTCATTTCACGAATGAGTACATACAAAATCCAATAACCTTGTTTATAAGATAGTTTACTTCATCAATATAGCTTACCTTTTTGAGTCTCTTACAAGGACAACGGATCTTAACCTTCTGATTGCAATTCTGACAACATTCCCCTAGGTGACAAACCTCCTTACATCGATGACCACAAGGTAGCTGTAATGTCAGAGAAAAATACATGTGTCTGGCACAAAGTATAAATGCTCATTTTTGCTTACTTGCATTTGTTGGTTATTATACTTAAATTCCTTATATTTTGAACCAAGGATGTGAAGAACATTTCTATACAACTCATTTTTAACGCAAAACTCTTTCCAGGCTCATACCAAGACAACGATGTAGACTCATCCATATGGTCACCAAATGTTACCAAACCATCACTTCAGAATTTACTATTCAAATCAACCCACAGATTCTTTTTCCCCATTAGCTTTTAGAATGAAAGTCATTGGATGCATTTGTCAAGGAGCAGACATGGTTTAAAGCAGGGGTCCCCAACCACCGGTTCCCGGACCGGTACCGGTCCGTGGATCATTTTTTACTGGGCCGCAAAGCTTGGGTGCCGCCATCTTGTTTCGACGGCGCCTCCGGGTTTTCGGTTGCTTCTGGGTTTTCGTTTGGAAAGTGCTTCCAGGTTTTCAGTTGGAAAGCGGCGTTTGGGTGCTCGCGCCTTAGTTTCGTCAAAGGGGTGGCGGCTTCGAACAAAGAGCCATCCCAATGGCGGTGGAGTCTCACGTTACTCATAGAAGAATAAATAATTGTGAAACCGGTCCCTGGTTCAAAAAAGGTTGGGGGCCACTGGTTTAAAGGACTTCAAATCACTTTTGAAATCTCCTATGGTGCTACTGATCAATTTCCAATGCTACATTAATATCTACTGCCATTAATAGTTTAAAATGTTTTTTCTTTTAGGGTTTACCTCCTTGGGGCACTGGTTTTTGCAGGAACACAGCTCTTCTTTTTCTTCTGCGTCAGCATTAGTGATTTTTCTGAAGAAATAGAAACCGATGGTCATCCATTAAAAGAGAGACAAAATGAACAGCAAGACAAGTTATTCATTGTCTTATTTTCAGTTGACCTTGTCAACGCTGAATGGAAAAAGCAAATGTAAAACAGATGAGGATTTTTTAAAAAGGGGACTGAGTTTGAACAATCAAATAAAACCTGGTCCAGTGATTTAATATCAGATTAAGTGATAATCTCATGAGAATAAAATAAACAAATTTTATACGGCAAGATCTGAAATGCTTACTGTATCTCAAGTAAGTTTTGGAAAAAAAAAATGCTTTGATTCAAACCAGCCTGATAATTAGGATAAACTGACCACTAACTCAGCATGCCACAAAATAATAATCCTAGTTTTAACCTTTAAATCTAATTTTTCAGGCCTTTTATATCTGAAACATAAGCAGAAAGCAAAATGAAGTCAGAAAGACAGATGAGTCAGCCAGTACAAAGTGCTAGGGCAGTAAAATGACAGTTCTTTTTTACTTCTTTTTGTATATCAAGTTGAAGCAAGACTGAAGGAAGATCCTCAGAAATTGGTACCTCCATCTACCATTCCAAACAGCTGCCCCTCCCCCCCAAAAAACCCCAATAAAACCAATTTGGACCAAAGAGCTTGAGCCACAGTGGCACAGTGGTTAGAAGGCAGCACTGCAGGCTACTTCTGTTGACTACCGGCTGCCGGCAATTTGGCACTTGAAATCCCACCAGGCTCAAGGTTGACTCAGCCTTCCAACCTTCTGAGGTGGATAAAATGAGGAGCCAGATTGTTGGGAGCAAGAGGCTGACTCTGTAAACCGCTTAGAGAAGGCTGTAAAAGCACTGGGAAGCGGTATATAAGTCTAAGGGCTATTGCTATTGCTTAGGATGGGGTTGGGGGAATAAGCCTGGCTGACATTCCAAATAGACCTATGTATATGTATATATCACTAACCCTGCTGATGTTACTTAGTTAGGGTAATGAAATATCTGCAAGAAAACAGGCAAGCTCTCAGACCTATCTATGCGCTATTTGTTTGCAAGTCTTCTTCTTCATCTTCATCAACTGCAGCTGCCCATCCTAATGGGCAGCCTACAAAACATAAAATATTAAAACGATGAACACATAGCCGATAATCAGAGTTGGAAGGGACCTTATAGGTCATCTAGTCCAACCCCCCGCCCAAGAGGGAGACCAATACTATTTCTGACAAATGGGAGTCCAATCACACTCAGCATCTCTTCCCTTTTTTCTTCACCCAAGGCATGTGATCCTGTCCATTTAACCGATAATCAGAGTTGGAAGGGACCTTATAGGTCATCTAGTCCAACCCCTCGCCCAAGTGGGAGACTCTACACCATTTCTGACAAATGGCAGTCCAGTCTCTTCTTGAAATCCTCAAGTGATGGCGCTCCCACAACTTCCGAGGGCAACTTCCGTTCCATTGGTTGATTGTTCTCACTGCCAGAAAGTTTCTCCTTATTTCCAGGTTGAATCTCTCCTGGTTCAGTTTTCATCCATTATTCCTTGTCTGGCCTTCGGGTGCCTTGGAAAACAGCTTGACCCTCTTCCTCCTCTCTGTGGCAGCCCCTCAAATATTGGAAGACTGCTCTCCTGTCTCCCCTGGTCCTTCTCTTCACTAGACTAGCCAAGTCCAGTTCCATAAACAACAAGACAATTGGGACTAACCACTATTTAAACATCCCATGGGTGCAGTTGCCTCCCACCGGAAGATTCAGACTGTTTATTTAGAAAGAGAAGGAAACTGGTTTGTGTGTGTGTGTGTGTGTGTGTGTGTGTGTATACCCTCATCTCAACACAGCAGCATAGAAACTAAATGAAAACAGCTTAATTACCAAACGTTGAAACAAACAAACAAAGGTCATTGAATTACGTACATGCATTCAATATACAGGCTTGTCAGTTTGCAGTGACATTTTATTCGGATCATTTGGGCACAGGGCAGACATTCTCCAGGATGGCATGGCAGAGGGCATGCATGAGAGCACCCAGCTGGCCGTGGCTTGGAACATCCTTCTTCACACTGAGAACATTCTGGACCCGCCTAGTAAAACAAGCAAAATGTGACTTATAATTTATTTGCTTTTTGGGACTATCCATCCGTTCATTTAAACATATGTAAGGACGCTTGGTGTGATGACCCGGGGCGTGGCACAAAGGCAACACAGTCAAATAAGCAAGAAGAGTTCCCTTTATTATCTCCAACTTTGCCCAGGTTACCTTTGGCTGGAGAAAAACTCTCCCAGGAACAGCCTTTAGCTGTGGAAAATTCAATCTAAAACAAGGTACACACAAACTGCAACCAAAAAATCCCAACAAACAAAGCTGCAATAATTAGCTTGTCAGCAGGAAAAGGAATTTCAGACTTGAAACTCACACAAAACTCACACAGTTGAGAAGATGCCAGGAACATAGAGAAGTCACAACGATACAAGATAAATTCACATTTGCTCCCAACAACTTGCTGTGCGCAGCTTCCTCTTTTATATACTATGTTCCCAGCTGCAGCTAATGAAGGGAATCAGGACCCTTTCCTCCCCTGTAAGCCATGCAACTCATGTTGCTCCCTTCTCCGTTCCTCCCTGCGTGCCCTAGGATGAAGGGGGGGTGGGCCTGGATCTTCCTCAGAATCCCCTCAGCCTTGCTCTACCTCTGCCCTGCTCTGCCCAGCTGGACTTTGCCCTTCCCCAGTTTCTTCCACAGTCAATGGAGGCACACTCCCGCTCCCTGTCAACTGTTCAGCCTCCCCCTCCAAATCAGATTCCGACAGGGGCATGACACTTGGCCCGCTCAAGTGACAGAAAGTTAATACAGTATATTGGCTTGAAACCAACACACGCACACGCACACGCACAAGACTTTTGTTCTTCCTGTAAGCTCCTCCCTGAAAGTCACTCCTAAAGAACAATGGGTAGGGGAGAGCCTCCTGTGCAGTGGTGGGCTGCAGCTGGTTCGGACTGACTCGGCCGTACCGGTAGTTACGACCAGGGGTGGGATTCTACAGTTCGCACCTATTTGCTAGAACTGGTTGTTAACATTCTAAGCAGTTTGGAGAACTGGTTGTTAGAAGACATTACTGGCCTAATCCTGTAAGGAAGGCAGGAAGGAAACATTCTGGTGTTGCTTACAGAAACTGCCTCTTCATTAACCCTTATTACATTCTTGGACAGGACTAGACTTCCTGTCTCAGGAACCTCTCTGGAGTTTTTTTCCTTTGCTGGTACTTTGTTTGTGTGGAGTGACCATTCAAAGTTACAATGGCGCTGAAAAAAGGGACTTATGACCATTTTACAACTGTTGTAGCATCCCCACAGTCATGAGAGGCCAGGCGAGGAGATGCGTGCCTCGATGTGAGTGATATTGAGTTGGCCACACCCAGCCAATAACATGACCAAGCCATGTCCACTCAGTCACATGACAACCCAGCCACGCCCACAACCTAAGCCATGCCCACAGAACCGGTTGTTAAAAAATTTGAATCCCACCCCTGGTTACAACCAACCGCTTGGGCCCACCATCCCACCCTGTAAATCTCACATTTTTACTTGCTCGCTCTGCCCTTGCAGCCCAGCTGCTTTCTGCCCCCCCCCACCTGATCTACTCACACCCTGGCTTCCATGCAGAGGAATTCCCTGTGGTTTTGCAGCCGGGCTCAAGCGCAGATGGCGCTCGCAGTTTCGGTTCTGCACTAGGCGAACCGGTTGTTAAAACTATGTGCAGCCCAGCTCTGCTCCTGTGGGATCTAAACGAGTCTGCAGTTTTAATGAAGGATTAAGCAAGTTGAGTAGAGAAAGAATGTTTTCTGTTTTTGTTTTTTTTCATATTAAGCAATCGCCTGGGTGTGAATGGCCTCTCAGGGTGACAGGTGAGAGGGGCAAAGCACTCGGCAAAGAGTACTGTGGTTCAGCAGGAGATAGCATCTTTTAAATGCCCAGCCCGTTTTTTAAATTCATAACCAAACAGAGCTAGTCTGCACTGATAAATGTAAGAGATAATTAGCATAAGAGCTGGCAAACGCAGGAGCCAGAGCAAAAAATGGCTAATGTTAATCTCAGGAAGGTTTAAGGAAGGAACTGGTTGTCTGATTCTAACTGTGGCACTTAAGCATAAAGCCAATGTATTTGCACTGCTTTTTTTTGGAAGAATAAAGAAAAGAAAAAGCAGCAATGGCCAAAATAGAAACAATCTAAATACCGTTATTAGACTCAACGATTATCAATGATTATAGTGTTCTATTATCATCTGCAAATCTGTATCTTCATTACTATCGGCATCTACCAGCAGAATACTTGGTAAAAATTCAACAAATTGAACCTTCATGATCCCAAGCAAGCTAAGTGTTGTATCTTATGATTCTTGATGAATATATTTTTTTTCCTTTTTATGTACACCGAGAGTTTATGCACCAAAGACAAATTCCTTGTGTGTCCAATCACACTTGGCCAATAAAGTATTCTATTCTATTCTATTCTATTCTATTCTA